ACCACTTACAACGGGCATTATTAGTGTGAACTTTAGTGATTAGAAAAGCACATATATATAACAAAAGTGGTTTAATACTTCCTTTGTTTACATTAAAATTGTCAGAAGGAATGAAAATGTTCATTTTTTCTGAATTTAAGACAAATATATTCAATAAAATGTATGATTGGTAGTGAAAGGAAGGCAACAAATAAGAGATCGGATGCTCGTCACCTTTTACAACATTTTATTAACAAAAATGAAGAAAATACAATTTTAAGTCCGTTTCTTTCTTTCTAAATATAACAGCAATTGAATGTCGCTCGCATGTTCGTTTGGTTTGTGATTGATTCGTTTGATCCTCTTTTGCATTTGTTGATTTTGCTCAAAAGCACCGTCCAATTTCTTCTCAATTCTCTTGAATATGACTCCATACTTTTTCATTTCTTTGCTCCATCGATGTGCCTTATCTTCAAACACCCTCTCAATATCTCGATTGAAATTAGAGGCATGTACTTCACGTCCTTGGATTATATAATTTCGAGCACAATATGTTCTTAGGTTCACTGTTAATGCAAAATGTATGTGAAAACACTGTATCACTCATTTTCTTCAGTCATATGAATCAACCAAACCTTTTGTGAGCAAACTTCTAAGTTCCCATCCCATTTTGGTACAAGCACCCATCCGATCCACATCCAATCGATCCACATCCCAACGCTCCACACCAAGCATGGCCGATTGGAATAATTCAATTGAAATTTCTGTTCAAATTGAATTTCAACTGATTTCTCGATATTGATCGCAGAAGCTGTAGTGTCACAAAGGAGATTCCAATCTAGACTGAATATGAAGTGTGTCGACAATTGTATGCTGAGCAGAGATAGATCGGTAAATGACAAATCAATGTCTTTATATCACATTATTCGTTATGCAATCAAAAAAATGATCCGTTGTTGGCAGTGGTCGTTTTATTGTCATTCTTTTTTGGCATGTGTACTGTATCGGCGCCAAGGAAATGCGCCATTTTTCGACACACCATTGTAAGTCATTCGATCTGTTCAATCGCAAACATTTTTTTACACGGCAGCAACCAACCGACGATCGCTTTTTGCTCTCATAACACATATATGTTCGATTTATTTGAAAATTATGAAATGAAACACACATTGTCATGTCCAATATCGATTCAATCTCCAAAATAAACGAACAACTCTGAAATGAAATAATTTTCAACTATTTCCATGAAAAATCAAACCGCACCGCAATATTTCACAAATAAGAGTTAATTTATTTTCAAAACTGCACCATTTTTATCTAGCTATACATGTATTTTTCTTTCCTAAAAACGATTGATCTATTTTTGTGTGAAATTATTCAAGCTCTCTTGCATTAGATTATTTAGCTCTTGAACATGTTCCAACTCTTTTGCAATCATTCTGATGATCCATTTATTTTCTCTATCTTCATGGCGCGGAATATTGCGATTCAAGGAAGACACATAGTTTTTCCGCACATGAGTGGCGTATATTTGGGCACAATGAACCGATGCATCAGCTGTAAATGAAAAATATGAGATTCTTTGTGGATATAAGTTTTTTTAAAGATCTAATTATCATACCTTCCACAACTAAGCTTCTCAATTCTCTTAATTTTCTGTTGTAACTGCCACTATCCATCGGAATTCTATTGATTTCTGAAAAAATATAGCTAAAACTGAATTTTCCTTTATTTTTAAATTAAATTTTCCCTGAAGTACTCTTATCACATCTATTTTGTAACTACGAGGGATCAAATGCGACTAAACAATCGTTTGTTATGCAGAAGCAATAGTGTATGCGCATTGCGCATAGAGTAGAGTGAATAATAAAGTGACGCTGCAATTAAGTTTTCTTACCTATTGGCAACTGTTGTTATGTTGTCATTCCTTAGATTCTTTCTGTGTGATGCGTTCGAGAGAATGCGAAATGAAATGCATTGGTTTTAGTTTCTCATCGATATATTTTGACACGCACCATCACACAGATAGTGATGTATGAACAATATTCAGAATGATTAATTTTTGAAAGTGAATTTTTTGAAAATGAATTTTTTGTGTTGAATTATTTTCCAAAAATGTTATAATACGTTACACAAATTGGTCAAACACGAATCAAAACAACAGAGTTCATTGAATGTGACTAGAATAGTAATTCTGGTTGGTTTTCTTTTCAGTGATTCTTTTGAGCCTCTCTAGCTTCTCTAGCATATGATGATTCAGCTCTTGAACACGATCCAATTCTTTTTGAACCCTTTTGAAGCCCCATTCATATTCCCTATCTCTGCTGCGCCGTTGGATGTCACGAACCGCAGAAGATGCATAGTTGTTTTGTGCATAGGTAGAGGTGCTTTGAACTGTGTAAGCTATTTTATTGACTGTAAATAAAAATAAACATGCAGATGTTTTACACAATGTGATGTGATTTTTGTTTCAAAAGAAAATGATAAACTACCTTCAGTTAGTAGTGTTCTCAGCTCTTGCATTTTTTTGTTGCAACTATCTAACCCATTCATCTTGGCCTTGATGTAATTGGCACAACAACCTTGGAAAATCCTTTTTTCTGGAAGAACACGAAACTCTTCAAAACTAAACGAAATCCTTATCAACGATTTTTGGCAATATTTCGATTTTTCAAAATTTAATTTATTACTTGATGAAGAAAGAAAACAATTGTGTCACACGAAAGATTCACAGACGATATTTTAGCCGTCACAGTTGATGTGAAACTTCAATGGTTACATAATCAATGATTGACAATGTAAATTGATATTATTTCGATCAATTAAAGTATCGAATTACGAATTGTATTTGGGCACAATAGACATCTGAGCACGATTTTGAATTGCCGTCACTTGTCGTTACAAAAACATTAGGTTTGATTCAGGAAATTGAATGTTTGATCGAAAAGGAAGGGATTTCTGGATTAAAAAGAATACCTTGACAAATTGTGAATGACCAATATTCGAAATAATGAAATTATTGTAACACCGCATTCACATGAGTTAATTAAGTTTTTCTTAAACAATGCACACTATTCATACACAAATATACATTTTTCTAAATCAATGCATGATCATATTTGAGCACGAATATTGATAAGCCAAATTCTTATAAATAGTTGTAACATGCACATTTACTTTAGTTCAGTTTCAAAGAGTTCAATAAAGCACATCGTTCACGAATTCAGCTTTGTCATTGTTCTCAATCGTTTTATTTCCTTTAAAAATTGCATATGTACAATTAATGGAATTAACTCCCGCGTGGCAGGCGAACATTCTACCACTGAACCACCGATGCTTGTGAAGGTACATGTTTCCAGAATGAATAAATTGCCGCATTCACCATATAAACAGAGTCACGGTTCTTTGCCACGTTCTTATCAAGTTGCGTTTCCTTTCGTCACACAAAACTGATATTATATGTGTAAACAGCAACGAAAATCATTCACTCAAAAAATAGAGCATTCATAGTGTTCAAAAGAGTTAATTAGATGATGATACATTTTTTGGGCATGATATGAATGAAAAATAGGAACAGAATCAACTCTCAAAAAATGATGCACGTAATTGGATTTTTGTCTGTTTACACAGATGTTTTCTCAATATTGCCAAAGCAGACACTTTTTGTATAACTTGATTTCATACCATATATTTTTAGACAATGCACAATGACATCGTTACAAAAATGGTGATAATTTCTTCAATCAATTCATTAAAACGATTTAAAATGAAACTTAGATTTACAGCTCCTTCGATGAAAAATTGCCCATTATTTTAAAATAATGTTTATATTGCATTTGAGCACTGATTCGATCGAATAGAGCAATGCACTGTCGAACACGTATACATGTGAAAAATACAAAGAAGAACTTGGAATTATTGTGTGGATTTGTATGCCATCCGTTCTTTTGAACAAAATAACAAGTTTTTTTCTTCCACAGGAGAATCGCGTTTCTTGCGAAGCTGCACATCGTATATCACATGCGTGATATACAATGCTACATTCATCACATGCGTCAATGGTGTAATGGTTAGCATAGTTGCCTTCCAAGCAGTTGATCCGAGTTCGATTCTCGGTTGACGCAGTACTTTTTTTCCCCTTTTTTCTTTGATTTTTTTCAATTGTACTTATTTAATTTTTAACATTTATCACCACAATGTCCGCAAGATAATTTTCATATTTTATCGTTCAGAATTTTTGTGCTCGATTTGCGATTAGCGCACAACTGATAAGAGAAAAGTGTCTGCAGCAAAGCTGTAGAACACCTTGAGTTCTACAAAATTGCTAAATACGCGAATCCATGAAAAATAAACATCATTCTTTTTATGTCTCGTCAATAGATTTCGAATTAAATTTTTGTGAACATTGTTTACTAAACAATGTTCAGATTAGCCATTTAAGACATTTTGAATAATAAATTGATAAAAAGCATTTGAAAACAAATGTTATTTTGCAAAAATATTGAATAAATTTTCTTTGAAATTGAAAAAGGTTCAATTGGGAAGAATAAAAAAAAATCCTGCGTCAACCGAGAATCGAACTCGGATCAACTGCTTGGAAGGCAACTATGCTAACCATTACACCATTGACGCATGTGATGTATGTAGCATTGGGTGCGAATATGAGGTTTATATCACAGTACACCATGCGTGATAATGCTATCACGACGCAATGGTTTATTCTCTTACTTTCACATTCTGTAAATTGAATGTTGAAATTAGCTGCCAAAACAATGAACAATTTAGCCAAAAACATTGGGCAAGCGAAAGATGGTTTCAATACGTGTGTCCTATTTATACTTTAGTACAAAGCTCACACAGAAGTATTCACTTTCATGCGAAGACCTCGTTAAATAAATGAAAAATACTTTTGCAAGCTCCGAAACTGAAAATTTTAGCTACATGTTTTAGCAATAAAGATTTTTATCGACTATAACTGACCATAAAACTCAATTAATCAAGGTCCAATGTTTGTTAATACCAATTTTACTTTTCAATTTCTTTATTTCAATAATAAAAAATAAACATTTTCTGTGTGTATATAACTATTCATCATCGCTCTCATCCTCTTCAGCGTCATTTTCGTCATCATCGTCGTCGTCCATGTCGCTCTCCATGTCGCTGTCGTTGCCGCCGTTCTCGCACACTTCCATGCCCTCGACTTGTTCTTCTTCTTCTTCTGCAGCATCATCATCCCATTGATCGTCCGACGATTCCTCATCTTGTGGTATTCCATCTTCGTCCGATGAATCTGTCAAAATCAAAATTAAACGATTAAAATTCACCGCTTAAATATGATTCGATTTAAATTTCCTACCTTTGTCTTCGTACACCAACAAATCCGAGTCTTCAATGATATCGTGATCTGTGTTTTGCTTAATTTGATTCACCAACAAATCCAGTCGTCCGCTTAGCCTAATTTCACGAAAGAAAAAAAATGGTTAAAGCCACATTTGAATTGAAGAATCATATAATAGCGTCTTACTTTGTTAAATGTTGGAATGTGTTTGCCCGATGTTCAGCAATTCCCAGCAGCGGTCCGAATGTGGCATACAGTTCAATTGTCCCAATGGCCATTAGTTGACTTGACTGTGTTTGCAGCAGATGTTTGAGCCACAGAATGGATGTGTGGACGCTAAAGTGATTGAAAAAATGAAGATTTTAGGGTAAATTCCAAAGAAATTTTAGTCAATTTTAGCAAAAAAAAGTTCACTTACTGAGTGGTTTTCTTCTGTGCCAAAACGGTGAGTTCGGTAATTAAACTCGAAATGTACTGTGGAGGTAGACGTTTGAGTGTTGCTCGAATGATTTGCTCATCTTTATTCAAGAAGACCATTCGCAAAAGGTTGGCATCGTGACTGTGCAGTGCTTGAACCAGCAATTGGGCAACGTTCCGTCCTACCGCACTGCTTTGGCCGAGTGAATCGAATGTCAAATTCTCGAGACGAGTTTCCATTGGTATTTCTTTGTTACCTTTTCGCGGTACAACTTCTTTCGATTGGAATTCAACATTTTCCAAGTTGACAATCGGCGTGATTGTTTTCAATGCGTTTGTTGTACGTTTTTTGGCGGCTGCATCGTTTGACACTGCTTTCGAACCGCTTCGAATAAGAACTTGTCGGCGCTCATTGAAATCGGGTTCAACCAATTCGAAGCGCAACACTTGACGATCTCCGTAGCCAATTTGCAGTTTCTTTTGTGCACGTCCGATTTCCATTGACACTGAACAAATTGGAATTGGCTCAACCAATTGCGATACATCGTTTGCAATTTCAATGGTCAACGTCGGCTTCATTGGTTTATTCGATGCTTGTTCAATACTCTTGCCCAAACTATCCACTGCAAAGAAATGCAACACACCACTACGTGTAACCGCGGCAATTTCCAATCGATCGTCTTCGACTCTGCTAGCAACACTGTATGGAATATCCTCCATAAGGTACGTGTATGAATTTGGACTCTTTTTGGCCGCTTTGATACGCCACAACGTAAGAATGCGATCTGTTTTCGATGCGGACAATACGAATTCCTTCGTTTTAACAACGAGATACTTTAGCATTGTGACATTGGTCGAGTGACCAGTGTAGGTTTGTTCGAGTTCTTGATTCTCAACCGACCATAGATACAATTGTCGACCGGCAACTACCAAACGATTTGATTCGGCTAAATAGACTAGGCTTGATGGTTTCTCATTGCCAATCTCCCACGATGAAATTTGTGCACCGGTTTCTAAGCTCCAAACAATTACACGGCAATCATCGCCACATGTAAACAAAACATTGTTTTTGCCACGGCAAATCGCAGTGATGCTTCCTTGATGACCTTCACCTTTCAAATTGTACTCGATCTAAAGTGGACAAGGATCCATTTCAAACGGACGTTAAGCTGAATGAGCACACCAATGAACTTACCTCGCTTTTGCTGTATGAATACAAACTGACGCCTCCGCTTCGCGTACCTAACGCAACATACTCTGTCGATTGTTGAGCCTTCTTTTGTGGAGTCTAAAAAATGGAAATATTGTGGATCGGTGATGAAAATCCATTCATTGAACGACAATCAAAAGCCAATTTGAGCTTACCTTGCGTGGTCCCAATGTACCATCGACTGTGATCCACGTGAAACACGTGAACGGTGCATTTAAATGAAAGTTTGGCACAAACTCCCGTTGAAACTCGTTAGTTTCAGTATTCCATATTTTGAGTTTGCCATCGAAGCTCAAAAGAGCATACAATTTTCCGTCGGCTGAATGCTCAGACACGTGCAATGTGTTTTGAAAAGTCGCCATCACTAGCACATTTGCCGTAAACTCAATGTGTTCGTTCAGTTGACAGCCCGGCGAATTGCCCGTCGATTTGACAGTTCCACACTACTACACGGCCAAATCAACCGGCGAAACGCTTGACATTTAGTACATACTAATTATTAACAACAAACCGCTTTGTGTACTAAATTCGTTATAGAAATGCACGATGAAATTGGATTTCGGAAAATAAATTGAAAATTGTCACAAAGAATTTCCATTTGAATAGGACATTTTATTTTCGTCTCAGTTTCAATTAATGTTGTGTGGAATATGCGTGCGTACAAAGTAGGCGTTGTTATGTGAAGTTAACATTTAGTTTTGATGTGACAGCCTGACACAGTGCTCACAACACAACGAATGCGACAAACTCACATTTAGTACCAATTTTATATGTGACTTATCAAATTTAATAAATATAGCACATTACTCTATTTAATTTTTTTTCTTCCACAAATACATTTGGAAAAGTGCATATTGATGCAGAATTTTCATAGCGACAAAATCGCAAATTGAACGAAACGCAACGACGCAACCCGTTTTCGTGTGCAGTCAAATCGAACGTATGCCGAAAAATTCGACGAATTTGCAAAAAAAAAAAATTGCGGTGGTCAAATAAACAATATTCGTCTTTGCAACATTGCATACATAACACACACGGGCTGTAGAAAATAAACATCGTGCTGTCATCAGTCGTCTAAACCTTTGACAAAGGTTTGCCAATCGAATTCGATAAATCGACTTGAATTTCGGAATCTGAGTTAGGTGAAAAGGTAGAGCGGGAAAAAGGCGAAAAAATTCTTTTAGTGGTGGAAAATAACGCAGCAATCATTGCATTCGAACGAAGAATCGGAGTAGAGTTGGAGGAGCGTACAATGGCCGTAAAGGAAAATTCAGAACCGGAAGATTTGGAATGGAGTACCGAAGAAGAAGTGCAATTGCTGTATGCATTGGATGGTCTGCGACCAGTTGGGATCAATAAACACTTTTATATGGCCCGAATCTGTGAACGAATGTCAACCGCATTGAAACGTGACATTGCCCCGGAAACGATTTGGGCCCATCTTCGCACATGGTATAATTTGGATGCACTTGATCAAATGGAACGTGTCCCATTCGCCGAAGAGGAAGTGGAATTTTCGCTGCCCGATTCGGAGTTTAGCGTGCTGATGAACAAAAAATTGGCCGAAGCCGAAGAGAAGAAACCGATAGATATCAAAACGGAACCAAATACCAAAGGTAAACAGCGAGAATCAAGTTACTTTTCGCCTGCTTGCCTTCTGATTTCCGAATTTAAATTTATTCCATTTCCCTTTCATTTTATAACAACAGTAAAAGCCTCAACACCACAAAGCACTAGTACCAAAACTCGGCCGCAAACGCCAAAAGAATTGGATAAGAAAGTAGCGAATAAAATTGTGGCCGAGCAGCCAAAACGAGGACAAAAACGTACACGTGGCTCCATTTCGAATGAATCAAACAGTAGCCCATCAACAACACCACCTCCAACGCTTGGAAATAAACGGAGACGAATCTAAAGTAATTTCGGATCCATGAACGTTCATTTAATGAAACACACACACAGAAAGGGAGAGACAAACAAACAAACGTTCATACAAATTGAATAACAAAAAGTTGAGCTTTAATCTGATATGGATAATTGTGACTAACAAAATGAGAAATGAATCTAATGCCGATAAAAACCGAAATCACGATAAACAAAAAAAAGGGCGTAAATCAATGATACCAAAATGGAATGAATTCCCAAATCGCCATCATACGATGACGCTATGATGGACACTTGAATTTGAACGATTTTCATTTTAATTTAGAGTGGGAAATCATTTATCGATTGCCATAATTTGTATAGAAATTATTAATTGATTAAATTTTTTTCCATTTAATTCGTTAACGTTAAGATTATATTAGCAATTGTAAAAGTTCTGTATCGCGAGAAAGAAACAAAAGAGAAAAAAAGAATACAATTTGTTTGGTTTACGTAAATACCGTGTGAAATAGAACAAGCGCAAAAATGTATCGATTCTATGTCGATAGAATTTCAGAGAAGAAAAAAATGATGAGGAAATTATTGAAAGAAATTAAAATGCCCAAAAATCAAAACTAAGATTTAATTGATGAAAAAAAAAACAAACAGAAACAAGTATATGCACCCAGCGGATATCATGAATCTATCCCGTGCTCCTTATGAGAAATGTATACTATCGGTAGCCGATTTGAAAGAGATAGCTAACATACATATTGCCCAAGGGAAATCAATCAAAAACTATCGCAAATGAAACGATTAAACGTGACCTTGTTTAACAAAGATACCGCACTTTTGACTTTCCTTTCTTTCAAACAATCGTATTGTTATCTATCATCCAGTCATGTTCCAAAGATCTTAATCAGGACCATTCTAAAAAATATAAACAGTCAATGGAATTGACGCAAATATCACACAGAAAAACCCATCGTTTTCCCGTGAATTTATCACAATCTACGTACTTTACCGTACTCTTGACTACGGAAAAGAAAACAAATTATTTATGCATAAGAGAATTTTTGCACCTCAAACTGAACAGGAAAACAAAATCCCGAAGAATTTATTGTTAAAATATTAATGTGTTAAAGATGCGGAAACTAATGACGTACGACGTCAAACCGAGAAGACGAAAAAGCTGAAACAGTATCAGATCACAAGAATATTGTGTTTATTTGCGTGCGTATGTAGAGGCAGGTCAAGAATTTTATTGTTTATGATAATTGAATGTCACACCGGTTGATTCCTGCATCTGCGCACATACCAAGCATACATACAGGAATATAAATATCACCGCGTAAAATCATTGAATAAGTTGGAACAATGAACCACGCCATAAGGTGATATGAATCGATTCTAAATACTGTAACCGAAAAAAATAAAGACAACAAAACACATTTGTATCGAATGCTTCTCTCTTTTTTTTTTGTTCAAATCAAATATAACCACGCGCTCAATCTGTTTTGTTTACACAGTATGAAAATATGCATGCATTAGGTTACCTTGAAATTGTTCAAATAGACTATGAATCAAACTTTGTAACATGTTTATGTTTAGCCTTCTAGTGAATCTAATATTTCTTGGTATTTCTCGGGCAAACAAATTGCAAGTTCCAAAAAAATTAATTGAACATATTTAATTTTCTAATTTTCTCCTCTGCTCCGTCACCGCCTCTCTGCCTGCTGCATCGGACCAAATGATATATAGAGGTGCGAAACAAATCTATTTACACTTACATTGGTTTATGTAAATCAAATAAAAGCCAAGAATAAACGAGAAATGAAAAACGACTAACTTTCGAAGTAATTGTAAACGTGTTACCTATTTGTATATTCCATGTGCGTGTACGAGCAGAGCAAAGTGCGAATTTTGAATAAATTTTTTTCGTGCTCGCCATAGCATTGGCAATTGGATTTCGAATGGGAATTCCAGCTTGTCTTCATAAAAGACCACATTTTTACTATTTTGAAATGGCAGCGCCGTTTTTTTTCATTTTCTGATCACACACAAGTAGCTTGATATGACTTTTTTTGGGTTTTCGATATCTTTTGCTGCTTTAGATTATTATGTGTGCCATAAATAAACATTAAGCAAGTGTTAAGTGTATCTTGGTGAAACTGATTGAAAAAGGTAAGAGAGAGAGAAAGACGGCATAACATTTGGTAACCATGAATTACTAACGAATCATTAACGATGGTATCTAAGCCGGTTGGCTTACTTTAAGGCTGTTCCCTTCTTGTTCTTCGGTTTGTTTACACACTATCTCATAATATGCGAGAGACTAGGCGAGAGATTCTCACATCGACGAGTGTGAGTGCGGTGGAGTGTTAAATTGCTGCATCATAAATAAGATGTGTTCGAAAACGAGTTTTTTTTCGTGTAATTCATTCACTCACTAATTGACTTACCGGTACCAACTAAATGTTAAACAACAGCACGGCTTCCTTATTGAAACGGACTATTTTTAAATAACAAAGAACATCGATTACTGTCGCTGCTGCTGCTATTTTTTTTCTTCATAGAGATTCTCATGTTTCTGTTCTAGAGATTATAACTTATCATCTAGTGTCTCGACCCGTCGCATCAAATGCGATGCTGATTTATTTTCACTTCAAGCATAGCCACATTAATGTGTTTTCGCGAAAGTGATAAGAATTTTCTCGATGGTTAGCATTTCTAAAAATGTGTCGACTTGAACTAAGTATACACAACCTTCCTATAAAATCATGAACAGCGTAGTTTTTTCTTTCTTTAATGGCATCGATTGATTTAATCTCTTGTTCAACTTTCACGCAATGCTAACGTTTATTGATGGATTTATTCCATTCCTATCGGAATATTTCGAGAAGGAAAATGCCTATTTTCTAGCTTCGACCGTAAATGTAACGACAATTTTTATTCTGGTCGTAAAAGTTTGAGCATTAGGAGCCCATAAAATCGACTTGGAAACTGTTGTTATAAAATTTGTCCGTATCCGGAAAAGCAAATTGTATAATAATGAGGAGTCCAAACAAGTTCTCAATCCGCATGGGGATTATTTGTTATGCCATACGGTCAACATATTAACGTCGTACAGAGTAAATGTTTTCAATGCGAGATCAGCTGATTTTCTGCGAGAAAAAAAACATGCAAAAAAATTGTCTACAAGCCGAAATGGGCTCAAGTTAAACGAACAGTGTATCTTCTTTTTTCTTCATTTCAGAATATTTCTAAAAAAAATATTGTATATATTCATGAGCATTCAAAATCGAATTTTAAATTAAATATACATTTGATGTTTTTTTTTTATTTATTTTTATCCTGCACCTTTAACTTTTTGTGTATGTAAATAGATGTGTTGCATTTAAAATCTATATCTTGGTCTACGTTGCCTATTGCCAATCCTCTTGTTTAAATCTCTAAGTTTTCTTAAATATTAAGATAACGTTGATCGTATTATTATATATACTAAAAAAAATAAGTGGTCTTCTTCCTTTTTCATTCATCATTTCTGAACATGTACATAACAAAAGGCATTAATAAAATTATAACACTTCACATAAAGACTATTAAGCTGTTGTGTTTGTTTGTTTTTTTTTGAAAAGCTGGTTTATTTCTTCGCTGGGAAGAAAGAACGCTTTAGAATACATATTTTTTTTCTTTAATTAAATAACAAAATGGCTTTACAATTTATTTATGTGTAAAATTTGAATACAGGTTTTGAATAACTATTCGATTACGATTTATTTTATGTTACTAAGCGCTTGACGACGACGACGGCGATGTGGACGCTGTTGCTGTGCTCGTTGATGAATTGCTATTACTGTTGCTATTGCTATTTGCCATTTGATTCATCGTTGATGCAACCGACGTTCGATTATGCTTCATATGACTTTGAACGAGGTCAGAATTTACTAGGGCAGCCATTAGTGATAATTCACCAGCCATCACGGTGGCACACACAACTTTGGCGAGTGTTTTTGAGTTGTTCGCAGGTGTTGTTGGATGTGCTCCTCGAATGCCCAACATATCCAAACATGCACTTTGACCCGGTAAACCAGTTCCGCCGCCAACTATAGAAGAAAAAAATCAAACGAAACGGAATGAGCAAAAAAAAAAACATGGCATATGAACATCATCTTTCCGCATTGGCAAAAGACATAAAAAAAAGTGAAACGTACGATAAAAAAATGTGTTAAAACTGTTTAAACACATTTTAGGTCGAATCGTTTACAAAAATGGTAATCGATTGATTTCCTCATTCGAATTGAAAGTCATTTGGATCAAATCAATATCAAATTTGCATACAAGTATGAATGTGGAATGGTGCCAATTAAACAAAGAGACGAAACAGAAGGAGAAATAAAACAGACCGACACATGGAGAGAGAGAGAGAGAGAGAGAGAGAGAGTTCAACGAATGCTGAACTGAAATGAAATTCACGCTGTTCAAGAGAAGAAAAAAATGTAATAATTTACCTGTTCCGACTTCTAATGAAGGCATTGTGCACGTTAGGTACAAATCTTCATTATCATCACCGCACGTTTCCATGCTCGTCGAACAGTTGCTGCTCGTTACATTTTGTGCAGGATCTTGACCACAGGCAATGAAAATTGCTGTCACCATATTGGCTGCATGCGCATTATTACCGCCAATGCTGCCGGCCATCGCCGATCCGGCCATATTCTTCAATTTATTGCATTGCACCAAGGTTTTGGCATCCGTTTTCAGAATCTTTCTCAAATCGTTGGCCGACACAATTGATTCGCAGACAACACGTTTGCCGCGACCTTTGATCCAATTGATTGCGGCTGGTTTTTTGTCCGAACAGAAATTACCACTCAAACTAATGATTATCATGTCGGGGAATGCATTTTTGATGTAACGCAATGCCATTTCACAACCTTTCGATACCATATTCATGCCCATTGCGTCGCCAGTCAATGCACGGAAACGCACGTACAACTGTGGTCCGTCAATATTGATGAGGATTTCTTGGAGGCGAGCAAATCGACTCGTCGAATCGAAAGCGATTTTAATGCGTTGGAAATTTTCCGGTGCGTCAATCCATTGTTTGGCCACCGATGCACGGTATACATTGGGGAATCGAACGCATGGTGCACGCGTCATACCAATATCTTCAACATAACTGGTTACACCATGAATGGAAATCACTTTGCATCCTCGATTTGTACTTGCGACCAATGCACCTTCGGTGGTGGCCATCGGAACATAATATCGATGACCGTCCAACGTTAGAGGACCCGCATAACCAACCGGTATTTGAACGTAGCCCATCACGTTTTCACAGCAAACATTCATCACCTTGGTGTAGTCAAAGTGTTTGTAGGGCAAATTGTTTAGTTTTTCTAGAGGTAGATTAGCGTTGTCGGCAATGACCTTGCGGCGAATTTTGACACCACGTGTCGGATTATCGCAGATTGATTCGATTTTATACAATGGACAATGACCGCTTCCAGCCTTAATCAATGCTATCAATTCGGAATCGGTGAGTTGGCTGCCACCGTGTGTGCTCATCATTTCTAAGCATTCGTCGATCGATCGTGGTTTGATTGAAATATCTTCGTCATCACTTTCCTCCGAATCGCTGTTAATCGAATGTGTGCTGATTGTTCGGTTCTTTTGTGCGTTTTCTGTTTGAGTGAACTGGTGCACCATTAATGTGCTCTTGCTCACTGGTGATATTTCGGTGTTGGTGGTGGTTGTGGCAGTGGCGGCAGCATTTGTATTTGATGTGGTCATCGTTTGTGAATAGCTTTTCGTTGTTCGATTCAATTGATTTGTCAGTTCGATGCGTTCTTCGAAGAAGATAAATTTCACCAACAAAGCCGTCAATAAGATCAAGATAATGATTTGATCGGAGCTCACTTTAAGCCACTTCATAATGTGCTCCGAAATGCCAATCTTATCAGTTGAATTGGAGGCCATAAAGTTCAACGAATCCACTTCATACGTATCGGTCGATTGCATGGTGTCATGGTTTGAGAAGACAAAACGGCTGCACAGGTGAACAATCATCAATCCGGTCGACATGATAATTTTCAGGCGCTGTGCAACTGGGTTCGGTTTTTGGTCGTCTTCGAAAATTGCACCAATCAATTTGGAATCTTTGAGTTTTTCCTGGGCACGGCTCATGTCAACACCGCTCTTCCACAAATCCATCATCAATGACAAACAGGCCGGATAGAATGTCATGAATACAACATAGTTAACGATCACCGACATAATTGCAAAACTGCTTAGGTTTTCCAACCGATACACGCCCGATAGTGTGCCAACGCTAATTACGAGCGTTTCAACAATCGAGTCTAATGATAATGCTGGCCCCAATATTTCCATGCCACGTGAAATATTTTCAATGACTTCGGATTGTGATGCACCGCTCAAAGCCAGCTGTGCTAATATGCCCGCCTTCGATAAATCAATCAATAGCAAAAAGAAAAACAGGGCATCTTTTAAATCCGATACTTCGCTGCCCAAGAAATTAATTATCGTCGATGTAAAGATAAAGCTCGAAAAAACGGTGAACAATCCGGCAATGATTAGAATGTATTTGGAACCGAACTTATTTAAATTCAAAAATTGATAATAGCTGTAAAGGATGGCCGAGCATCGAATTACGGTCATCAAAATCGTGTCGACTGCAATGTATTCCGCTTCGAGACCATCACATTTTTCTCGCCAACCTTGACAGTTGCGTAACCGTGACGGTGTTGAAGTTTTGCTATGATCAACCGTTAGCATGCATGCCGTTAATGTCAGTAGCGCAACGATTACTTCCCACGGATGTGATGCACAAAATTTCCCATGAGCTCGAAACAGTTGCGATGTCATCTTGTCTTTGTTGTTGTTGTTGTTAAGGTACACTTGATCGAACTGCCTTCCAAAGTGCCAGCAAATTATCCAAAAATCCAGCAAACGACAAATAAAACCAAATTCTTGGAAAACCAACCGAAAGAAAAAATGTCAATATCACTGAATAGTTTGCACTTCAATTACCCGGTCGGATGATAGGTTTGCTTAAAAATCTGGTTTTGAAATCCAAAGTCGTTTATATAATGTGTGTGTTCGGCAAAGTGTTACTCTATTATACGAAAAATACCACTTTGCTTTATATATTTGATGTTTTTTCTCTCTTTTATATTTTATATCTTATGCTTTGAATGAATTCGAAAAGCGATCCGAACGAAGATAAAAAAAAGATTATGTTTTATATCTCGAAGTATATTATGTAATGCGGATTGTGTCTATATGCTTAAACACACACAGATAACTTTCACTTTCTCTTTAATTTCTCAATGAGTCCAACAAAAAATCGTCTGCTTTGTTCATTTATCGGAAACACCACATACGAACTTCACGAAAATAGGCCTGATTTCTATTTTTTTTCCGCGATGATTGATTAGTCCAGTTGTGTGCTCTGCTTAGTAGATTGTGCTCAGAAAAAAAAATTTTTTGCCAGAAAACAATTTCTGTTTTGTTTGTTTGTTCGTGCATTCGTTCGTAGCTCTGCAATTTTCAATACAATCTAAATAGCACTAATTTGATTTGTTTATCAGACATGAACTTCGCGTATGTTCGAAAACCATGAAAAATAAAAAATTTCTTTATCGAGCACATACAGTAGCCGTGTATAGTTGTACGTCGTGAGGTAATCTTCACTTTCACTTATTCGCTGAGATTTCGCGATTTCGTACATATATTTCACTCTTTTCGTTTTACGTCGATTGAGTTTAGTTCATTGTTTTACTGTAGTTATTTTCTTCTCCTTCTTACTTCGTTTTTTTCCTGTTAATGCAAAAATGTCAGAAAAAAAATGTTCGATTTTCATTTAACGAAAAGTGAAAAAAAATTAAAACAATTTGTCGTTTGTAATTAAATTTGCGTTAATGTAGCACACAAATCAGTTGCAATTATTTGTTTTTTCTTTTCTTCAGCTGCCAACTGCGGGAGCACAAATTTTTTTTAGGAAGTTCACGTAAAAGAATCCAAATCGAACTAACTCGATGTACTTGACACAAACACCGTTTTGGACTCAAAGAGTTTCTATGACAGAAATGCATGAATTTATATACATGCGCGACTGTTAATCATACACACTCGTACAAATACCAGGCCACCGATTTCTTTTTGAGCTGTCGAGTTTCTTATTTAAACGCTTGGATTGCAGTTGGGTGAGACAGAGAGCAAGAGATACGTGCACACTCACACGCACGCACACTTACACACAAATATACAGCCACAACCAATCACCGAACCAACCGATGAAAAAAGAGAAGAAAAATGCCCATACGAACGCCACACGTGTGAATACTCTGTCTTGTATCTAATCAGTTTAACGATTGTCTAGCCGATGCAATTATAATGATCTATCGATTTGATAGCAAAATCACGGTTTTTTTTTCGGTGCATACGATTGACGACAAGAACAAATTGTGTTCACTTGACTCAACCAATGAATCAATCGTTTATTGTCTTATCTTTTACTAAGAAATTACTCATTTGAGCTCTGTATTATCGACAGTCAGTGAGGTCGATATGGAGTGGCAGCTAACTTGACAGCTGCATATGATTTGACAGTTCAAACTGTTCTCAACAATAGGCGTTTGGATGTGTTCATGTTTTTTTTTTCATTTTCTCGTGTGGTGTATTTGCATTTCTGTTGTGAACTACTCTGAAAGTCATCAAACGTATAGAATTAGAGAGATGGAATGAACGTGTGGTGTTCTACAACAAAGACAAAATCGTATAGTCATTACAATACGTCATAGTTGTGTGTGTGTGTGTGTAATTAGAGCCAGTAGAAGGGAGCACAATATTTTGTTGTTGAGTTTTGTTGTTTCTTTGGTCGTTCGTTTTTTCTACTGCTATTCTTTGCAATGTCAAATGAATTTTTACTTGCATTGAGATTATTCGAAATCACACATTGATTCATTGGAAAAAAAAAGAACTGAATTCAATCAAACGCTCAAGTGTGACGACGTTTTTTTTTCTATTAATAATTATTTTTCCATACTAATTGTGTCAAGTAGTTTTGTGTCAAGAAATGAGCAAACGTTAATCAAAGTCACCAGAAAACAAAGCAAATAAAAAATTCAAACAAACAGAGGAGGAAAAAACACACAAGAAGACGGGAAACCACTAAAGGAAATTTGCCGTGAGAATACACAAAAATGACTGCAATTACTGATACGAGGTTTGTGCAAACAATGTTCAATACTTTTTTTCATCATTTCAAGTTGTGTTGCTACGCAAAGCCAAAAGGCAAAGAGACAAAATAAATGGAACTGAAAAGTCATTCATGAACACAGTGCTTCATGAATGATGACACAATGCGAACGTTTGATTTGAATAAAGTCTATTTTTGAGCACATGTCAACGAAAAAAATAGATTTCTCTCTCTGTCCATTGTTCGTGTTCATCAGATAAGTGACGTCATAACGAAAAGGTTATGCTTCCGTTCCATTTCTTTATTCTCGCACAACATTGAAAATATTGTTTGACATTTGCTTTTGAAATGTGCATAATTTTGAATGTCATTGATGGGTCTTTTTTCTCTTTCGCTCTGTTCTGCGTTTAGAAAACGGTCTCGTGATGAGGACACTTGTGATTTTATGCCGATTTCAAAACGAATCAATAATCTCACACTGACCAGCCAAAGTTTAGGCGAACAAGATGCACCAATTGCTCACAATGGCAATGGCAATGGTGCAGCAGCAGCAGCAAGCAATCATCATTTCATGGCCATAAGCAATCAGGAAATCCAGTTACAGCATCACGCACAACATTCACTGGTGAATAGCTACCCGAATGGAATGTCCCATCATTATCTGAACCAACACGGGCAGCCAGCACACATTTCAAACTATCACCAAAACCACAGCGTACAGTCAAATCATTCCAACGGGTTTCACAGCAATGGCCATTCAGCACTAGGGACCAATGCACACAAGCACAACCACAACCAACATCACCATCATCAACAACAGCAGCCACCGCCGCCACAGCAGCAACATCAGCAGCAACAGCAATTGCATCATCAAAACCATGCCGAACCAAACAACAATCAAATGGAAGAAGTCTATCGTCCCGAACTCACGGCCGACGAAAACCCATTCTACTACGATAAGAATAAGCTGTTGTTCGATTTGCATGTCGAAAGAGAACGTCGCCATCAGAGCCATCATTGATTGTGATGCTGTTGTGATGCTATTACCTACCTAACGCCCGTTCATTGTTCTAAGACAGAGAAAGAAAGAAAAAAGAAAGTAATCATAGTGTATAGTTGTCTTCTATCGTTAATTCAACGTTTTCCCTCCTCCTCAAGAAAAGCACTCATCTATTTCTAATAGACGATATAAACTGATTTTTTGGATTCATTCATCAAGAGTAGTATCAAAACAATTACACTTGATACGACATGATATTTCGTCAAAAGAAAAGTAGAAAAAACAAAAACATTAAATACTTGATTGCCACTCAAACTCCAGCAAATTCATAACATTTTTACAAAATCGGTTCTATTTTTGTACATTTTGATGTGATGCAAAACCAGAAAATTCTATGAAAACTATAGCTGATTTTTGTGATATTTTGCCAAGTCGTTGTACTCGAATGAATGTGAAAAAAGGGATGAGAGAATGCGCGCACGAAAAGAAAAAAATAGTGAAATAGTCATTTTTTTAAAAATGATATTCACATTAAGTTGAATGAAACAAATAGAGAGAAAATAAGAGAAAACGATTGCTTTTGCGATTTTTGTAAGAATTAATATGCATTTTTGTGATTAGGCCATCGTTTAATATGGGGACTTAATCATAAGTTTCTATTCGATGTGTGGTTTAATTCAAGTCAAAATGGTTGACATTTGTCAATTGATCTTGACATCAATCAAATCTTTTCGAATCACTCAAAAAACACACCACACACAAAAATTATACTCTCGAAAAAAATTATGATAAAATTTGCTTTATTTTTTTTTAAAAAAACAAACACAACTACAGAGAATTCAAAACGAAAAAAAAAAAAATTATTGTTAGCGTTAGGATTTAAATTTGTTTCGGTAATGTTATGTTTTGTGTGTGCAGTTTCTATTCTTATCAAACCACTTCATTTCAAGCACTGTCTACGTACTCGATACAAAATGTGTTAATTTGTTCGATATAAACTATTGCGTGTCACTTTGAAAGTGCAATTTCATCATCAATAAGCATTATAAATATCGAATAGTTCAAAATGACCGATAAGCTTGGGAGCAATTACAAGAACTATTGCAAACAATCCAGTTTATTTCAGCTACTCAACGACAACGACAAACTGTTGTGAAATTATTGAGCAGAAAAATAAATTCCATCATAAAATCTTTAGCTTTATTTTATTTGTTCAACAAATCAACACATTTTGTGATCCTAAAAACGTTCAACTAAATTCATATTTCCGATTCAGATGTATCAAATTTACAGGATCTTGCATAAATTCCGGCAAAAAATTTGTAAAAAAATTGAGAAAAATGAATCAAGATTCAAAAAAAAAAACTTCATATTTCAATATCTTGGATGTTCATACTAAAATAAAAAAAAATTCCCACATTGTTAAAAGAAAACACACAGCAAAAATTGAGAAAGATTTTAGTTTGTTGAATAAAAATAATTGATACCAAGAAAATGAGCGTGTTTTTATTGTTCATTCGTCAAAAAATGCATGAATTGTTCTAGGTAATGCGAATCACTGGAACTTTTTCTGATAGCGAAATCATGTGTTTTTTCT